AAATCTTTTTAAAGTTTCTGAAATACTTTTTACAATCCAAAAAGGGACAACCAACCTTATTCAACTAAAAATATGTTTTGGGTTTTCCCTTACCATGAAAACTTGGTTGATTTTGCCTTCTCTTCTTAAGACTTTTAATATTAAAGTTGTATTCAAAAATCTTGATACGTAAAAAAACTTTTGATAAAGAATTCCCCCAAAATGCTGATTGATGTGTCTATAAGATTCCATGTAAAATTTTCGATTTAAAATTTATTACGGTCAAACTGGTAAAAATCTCGAACTAAGATTAAAAACAACTAAATATAGCATTAGAACTGGACAAGATTCCAATGTTTCTATTTATTCATGTAAGAGATTTTAACCATCCAAATTTATTTTCAAAAAGTTGAGAAAGTTTGTATCAAGCAAGTCCATGTCGACTGGTATTATAAATTTTAATCTTGTTTTATAAAAAGCAGTTTTGACAATAATATGAATATTTCCTTTTTGGGTTTTTTAAATTAGATCCATTTATAATTAATAGTTTTGGGAAGAATTTAATAATACACTGGGGCAAATAATTTAAATTTTTTAAATTTTCTTGGGTAGAATAGTTTTGGGTGAGTTGTGCAAAGGACCTCTCCAAGTTGGGTCGGCGCGCGTCAGGTGTTTAACCGTTGTAGGATCTGATAGTGAGGTGCTGGCCAGACCCCTTATATAGCTTCCTTGGATGCTTTACTTTCATAGTTCCTTGATAATGTGAGTAGTCACGAAAGCGCTTGGAATTTCTCTATTCTTTCAGAGTGGTTGTTTTGCATATTCTGAAATCACCTGTTTACTGTGATCTTATTGCATATATATATATATATATATATATATATATATATATATATATATATTATATATATATATATATATATATATATATATATATATATATATATATATATACATATATATATATATATATATATATATATATATATATATATATATATATATATATATATATATATATATATATACATATATATTTAACTTTGCTAAATATGGTCTAGCAGCGAGGAACATTAATTAAGAAGAGACCGCACTAGAGTACATTGTGTTGCTCTCATAGCAAAATGTAATATATTGTTCCATCACCATGACTCTCCTCCCAGTGTATTGGTGCTCTCCTCACCAAACAGCACAATAATGAAAGAGTGGGATGAACCTGGATGAGTAAGGCAGGAGAGAGTGAAATGGAGGCATAACCTAGACATAAAGGGTAAGAGAGGCATAAAAGGGGAAATGAGGAAGGTACCAAAGAGGATAATTAAGGTGAAGGAAGCTAAATAAAGTGATAGGGGAAGGAGGAATGTATGAAGGAGCATAGGTAGAAGGAGGAGATGAGGAGATGGATACTCATGGATGGATGGAATGGATGGATGGATGGAAGCTCAAGCACTCAGGAGGTGGATGATGCAGGTTCGAGGGATATATAAGTAGCATGACATAGCTTTATATAAATAAATAATTAGGTATTTTAATAAATAACTAAATGCTTACATTATTTTCTCAAAATACATAGTTTTTATCATAAATGAGTTTCACTGTATAGTAGCCCAGGGGAATCCCCTGGTGAAGCATCCCGCAGACGTAAACTAAAACTTAAGATAAATATAACATTTAAGACGTAAATACAGTACATATATGCATACAAGATATTAAAAAGCGACCCAGAAATAAAGTAACTTTAATGAATGTAACAAAAATACAAAAATGAGAATAGATGAAGAGTGTATCATGGTAGAAAGTGATAAGAAAATTGAAGATAGTAGAATTCCACTCCTATACAATACAGGGATATATCGGATATCCGCATCCGCGGAACATCCGCATCCGCGGAACATCCGCATCCGCGGAACATCCGCATCCGCGGAACATCCGCATCCGTGGAACATCCGCATCCGCGGAACACCCGCATCCATGGAACATCCGCACTATTTCTTACATCCGCATTCACATCCGCATCCTTATTTTTCCTAAATGAGATATCCGCATCAGTGTCCGCATCCGCAATCACGATTCAATATATATCCGCATTTGCATCCGCATCCGCGCCAGACAAAAAGAATGTATGAAAATAAGAACATAAGAACATAAGAACATAAGAACATAAGAACTTAAGAACATAAGAAAGGAGGTTCACTGCGGCAGGCCTGTTGGCCCATACTAGGCAGGTCCTTTACAATCCATCCCACTAACAAAACATTTACCAAACCCAATTTTCAATGCTCCCCAAGAAATAAGGTCTGATAACTCTATCCACTCATTTGCAAGTCCCACTCAAATCCAACCCCTCTCACTCATATATTTATCCAACCTAAATTTGAAGCTACCTAAAGTCCTAGCCTCAATAACCCAACTAGGTATTCTGTTCTAAATCTAAACTTGTCTAATTTAAATCCATTACTGCGGGTTCTCTCTTGGAGAGATATCCTCGAGACCTCATTAATATCCCCTTTATTAATACCCATTATCCACTTATACACTTCGATCATGTCTCCCCTCATTCTTCGTCTAACAAGTGAATGTAATTTAAGAGTCTTCAATATTTCTTCATAAGGAAGATTTCTAATGCTATGTATTAATTTAGTCATTCTACGCTGAATGTTTTCTAATGAATTTATGTCCTTCTGTAATATGGAGACCAGAACTGAGCTGCATAATCTAGGTGAGGCCTTACTAATGATGTATAAAGCTGCAGTATGACCTCTGGACTTCTGTTGCTTACACTTCTTGATATAAATCCCAGTAATCTATTTGCCTTATTACGTACGCATAGGCATTGCTGTCTTGGTTTAAGGTTACTGCTCACCATAACCCCCAAGTCCTTTCCGCAATCTGTATGGCTAAGTTCTTCATTATTTAACTTATAAGTGCTAGGGTTATGGGCACTCCCGAGCTTCAGAACCTTGCATTTATCTACATTGAACTGCATCTGCCACTTTTCTGACCAAGAGTAGAGATTGTCTAAATCCTCCTGAAGTTCCCTAACATCTACGTTTGAATCAATTATCCTACCTATTTTTGTATCATCGGGGAATTTGCTCATGTCACTAGTAATACCCTCATCAAGGTCATTGATATATATTATAAACAACAACGGGCCTAAGACTGATCCCTGTGGTATGCCAATTGTTACAGATCCCCACTCGGATTTAACCCCATTTATGGATGGCAAAGCAGAAGCCAGAGAGAGTGCATTGTACTCAACCAGCAGTTAGGCAAGTCTGTTAAATGCTTACTGCCAGTGAACCACGTTGCTTTAGCTTTGGCGGGTTTTCCTGTGATTGGTCAATGAACCAAGGTACTGATTTAACGACGGGTACCCAATTGATCGTTAAACCCAGAGCACCCGGTTCGCTGGTTGGGAGGGAGTCTATATGGGAGTGTGACATACGCCGAATAAATTGTAACACACTCTTTGCATGCCACAATTCATCAATGGTAACATTAGGGAAAACGTATGTTTAGGGAGACACAGGTGGTAAACATTCAGAGAAAACCATATACAGGATAATAAAAGTTGTACATGATAGGCGGAAAATTCATTATGAAGGAGAGATACAGTTGTTGGTAATGTTAGGAAAAACTCGTATTCGTAGGGAAACTAGTGGAAAACTGTCAGTCATATGGTGTAAAATATCAGATTTATATCAACATTGTGAAGCATGTATTGTGGCAACCACTGCTGACTGAAGAAACCTACTGTGTAGGTGAAACGTTCATCAGTAGAGATACCCAACTGTTGCACATGTGTCTTAATCTTCAACACGAGCACCTCTTCAGAGTGCAGTTTGCCTAATTCATATGACAGCCACATTTCTCTTTCCCGCCTTTCGTTTCCTCTGCCGCCTGTGCATAATTTCTCTGGCCCGCACTCTGGCACGATGGAGGTAATCCCCCCCAAAAAAAAATAATTTCTTCTGCATACTGGATAGGCTATTCTGAAAGATGACAATTTCAGAGTTATAGTAATTACAGCCATACTGAAAGGAAATCTTTGAAGCTCTTATTAGCTGACGAACCCTTGCTGGAATGCTTGTATGAACACCATCCTGAGTGATGGAATATAATAGGGAAACACAGAAAGCTTTTGTTTCCACACGTCGTGGATGTAATGTAACTAGTCTATGTACAGGTCTTGTCTTGACCAAGCCTGGATGTTGACTGGCTGCTTGGGTGCTAGCCCAGGTGTATTCAGAAATAAAATGTCTAACTCTATAATACACAACCAGTGTACATCACTGACAGTAGCAACACATTCCTGGTTCATCCAGTTTTCTAAATTAAGAAAATGTATATGTATTAGAGGTTAGTCTAGAGAAGTTTTTCATTGAATAACCTCTAGATTTATTTATGTTAGGTCTTCAAGATATCAAACGAAATAAATTAGAAGAGCACAATTTCTTACCTTTATTTCCAGCGATGTTCCTCAGTAAACAAGACGGTGATATACCAAGTGCAGAGATAAACAAAAAATCGCCTTGTTATATGAGCCCAGTAAAGCTGAGAACGCTCAGAGAAGGAACGAACTTCCTTCTCTCTCACTGACATACTGAACCTAGTACGTAACCTTCAGCATTGTTCACAAAGAATGACGGTATATACCAAACGTGTGCTACCCACAGGACAATTACTTCAGCTGACAGGTACCTACTCTTTAGAATTAACCAATTCATTGAATGTATGTCAGAAATCGCGTACGTAAGCAAATTGGGCTTTCTTAAAGTATACTACAGTGTCATTCACACCCAGGGCTCAGAGACACTTGTCTCATCTGAGCCCTGGCTTTGTACAGCTTCCTTGCTACACTGTTCATAGCGAAGAAAGCACCAAGATCATTCAGGTCACAATGCAGAGGTTGAGAGTGAACTTAAAAAGTGTGTTTTTAGCCAGGATTAGAAACAAAGTCCCATAATGATACCTTAATACTTCACAGAACACTTTGTCAAGTTTTCTGCGAACTTTACTCAATAACTTTGACTCACCCAGTGGACGTAGTTCATGGAAAAGCGATCATCGCTGGAATGTGAATTGATACCCACTGTTAGTAGCTGGTAGTCTCTCTTCCTCACCCACGACACCTGCAATATAACCACACACGATATAAATATATTTTACCTTAGGAAAGTGTGTGTTTGTGAGTGTGTATGTGTGTGTGTGTGTGTGTGTGTGTGTGTGTGTGTGTGTGTGTGTGTGTGTGTGTGTGTGTGTGTGTGTGTGTGTGAGTGTGTGTGTGTGTGTGTGTGTGTGTGTGTGTGTGTGTGTGTACTCACTTATTTGTGGTTGCAGGGGTCGAGTCATAGCTCCTGGCCCGCCTCTTCACTGATTGCTACTGGGTCCTCTCTCCCTGTACCATGAGCTTTATCGAACCTCGTCTTAAAACTATGTATGGTTCCTGCCACCACTACGTCACTTTCAAGGCTGTTCCACTTCCTGACAACTCTAATGACTGAAGAAATACTTCCTAACATCCCTTTGACTTACAGGAGTCTTCAAATTCCATTTGTGACCTCTTGTTGCTGTGTCCCGTCTCTGGAACATCCTGTATTTGTCCACCTTGCCAATTCCTCTCAGTATTTTATATGTCGTTATCGTGTCACTCCTGACCCTCCTGTCCTCCAGTGTCGTCAGGCCGATTTCCCTTAACCTTTCTTCGTAGGACAATCCCCTTAACTCTGAGACTAGTCTCGTTGCAAACCTTTGCACTTTCTCTAATTTCTTGACTTGCTTGACCAGGTGTGGATTCCAAACTGGTGCTGCATACTCCAATATGGGCCTGACGTATATGGTGTACAGAGTCTTGAACGATTCCTTACTGAGGTATCGGAACGCTATTCTTAGGTTTGCCAGACGCTCGTATGCTGCAGCAGTTATCTAACTGATGTGCTCTCTATTATACTCACCCGATGATCTTTCTCCTTGAGTAAGGTTTGCAGTCTTTGGCTACCTAGACTATACTCTGTCAGCGGTTTTCTTTGCCCTTCCTCGATCTTCATGACTTCCCATTTGGTGGGGCTAAATTCATGGAGCCAGCTGCTGGACCAGACATGTAGCCTGTCCAGGTCTCTTTGAAGTCCTGCCTGATCCTCGACCGATTTAATTCTCCTCATTAACTTTACATCATCTGCAAACAAGGACACTTCTGAGTCTATCCCTTCCGTTATGTCATTTACATACCAAAACCAGCACGGGTACTAGGACTGACCCCTGTGGAACCCCGTTCGTCACAGGCGCCCACTTTGACACCTCGTCACGTACCATGACACATTGTTGCCTCCCTGTCTGATATTCTCTGATCCACTGCAGTGCCTTTACTGTTGTGCGTGCCTAATCGTCTAGCTTTTGCATTAACCTCTTGTGAGGAACTGTGTCGAATTTCAACTTGCAGTCCAAGAAAATGCAGTCTATCCACCCCTCTCTCTCGTGTCTTATTTCTGTTACCTTGTCATAAAACTCCAGTAGGTTTGTGACACAGGATTTTCCTTCCCTGAAACCATGCTGGTTGTCGTTTATAGCTTGTGTCTTTCTAGGTGCTCTACCACTCTCCTCCTGATGATCTCCATAACTATGTATACCATACACGTCAGTGGCACTGGTCTATAGTTTAGTGCCTCGTGTCTGTCTCCTTTCTTAAAAATGGGGATTATGTTCACCGTCTTCCATACCTCAAGTAGTTGCCCAGGTTCAATGGATATGTTGAAAATTGCTGTTAGTGGCACACACAGCTTCTCTGCTCCCTCCCTAAGGACCCACAGAGAGATGTCCGGTCCCACCGCCTTTGAGGTATCAAGGTCACTTAGCAGCTTCTTTACCTCCTCCTCAGTTGTGTGCATTTCATGCAACACTTGTTAATATATCCCTTGTTGGTGTACCCCCTTGTTCTGGCTTTCTGTCTCTACTGTAAATGAACATTAAAAATGGTATAAAATACCGACAGATTGTTAGGTAAGACACATATGCAACAGTTAGGTATCTTTATTTTGAAACGTTTCGCCTACACAGTAGGCTTCTTCAGTCGAGTACAGAAAAGTTGATAGAAGCAGAAGATACTTGAAGACGATGTAATCAGTCCATCACCCTTAAAGTTTTGAGGTTGTCAGTCCCTCAGTCTGGAGAAGAGCATTGTTCCGTTGTCTGAAACAATATGAAGTTGAAGTGACAGAATCGGGCCTTATATAGTGCCTTAAATCTCATATTGGTCGTTTTTTGTGAGCTCTCCATCGTCTTTCCTCAGGCTGATTACCTGGTCCTTGACTGTTGTCTTCCTCCTGTTGTGGCCATAGAACAGTTTCGGGTCAGACTTGACTTTAGATGCTGTGTCGTTTTCGTATTGTCGCTGGGCCTCCATCCTTATCTGTGTATACTCATTTCTGGCTCTTTGACTAATATCTTTATTTTCCTGGGTCCTTTGTTTTCTGTCCTTTTTTATTCTCTAGTGCACTAAGTTTTAGCCTCCCTACACCTTTGGGTAAACCAAGGGCTCGTTCTGGTCTTCCCATTATTTCTGTTGTCCCTGGAAACAAACCTTTCCTCTACCTCCTTGAATTTTGGTGTCACGTAGTCCATCATTTAGTTTACTGACTTTCCTACCAATTCTCTTTCTCACTGAACCTCCTGCAGGAAGTTCCTCATACATGTTTAGTATTCCCCCTTTTGTAGTTTGGCTTTACCCATCCTACTCCTGTTACCCTTTCTCCACCTGTATTTCTACTACGAATTCAAAGCTCAGAACCACGTGATCACTAGCTCCAAGGGGCTTTTCATATGTGATATCTTCAATGTCCGACCTACTTAGGGTGAACACGAGGTCCAGTCTTGCAGGTTCATACTCCCCTCTCTCTGGTAGTGTCCCTAACATGTTGATGCATGACGTTTTCCAGTATCACATCCATCATCTTGGCTCTCCATGTTTCGGGACTCCCAAGTGATTCCAGGTTTTCCTAATCAATCTCTTGTGTTTGAAATCACCCAGTAACTAGTAACTTTGCTCTACCTGTGTGAGCTCTTTTGGCTATCTCACCTAGTGTATCCACCATTGCTCTGCTGCTCTGTTCATATACTTCTCTTGGCCTCCTGCACTTCTGTGGCAGGTTATGCATCACTGCAATGACTACCTTATGTCCCCGAGACTGAATTGCACCTACTATGTAGTCCCTTTCGCCAGTTTCGTTCATTCTTCCATTTTCTCAAATCCCCATTGGTTTTTAATGAGCAATGCAACTCCTCCACCCCTTCTTCTCCCTTCATCTTTCCTCAGGATCTAATATCCCGGTGGGAAGATTGGGACTGTTATCCCAATGAGTATCGTTTCTGTGAGTGTCTGGGGACGTACGTTTCCCTGATTCTTTCATGCCAATCTTCACATTTATTTGTTATTCCATCCGCATTCCTACAAACCTTCAACTTCTTTTCTAAAACTGTGGTCTTGAGAGAACGTTGTCTGGGGAAGCGGGAGACCTGGTAGGGAACTATGGGGGGTTGCTGTGGGGGTGGAGTTTGTGATGAGAGGGGTGGGGGCAGAGGGTACAGTGTGTGGGTTTTGGGTTAGATTCTTTGGTTGTATTAGGGTTGTCGTGGTTGGGGTCCTTCTGTGGGTGGTTCTGAGGGAGGTTGTATTTGCTCTTATTCCTGAGTCTGGGTTTTCCTGCTTCTCGTTCCTGCTTACGTCTTTGTACCTTCTCTTTCAGTTTCTGCCTTACTTCTTGTTTTCTGTCGCAGTGTGTGTGTGTGTGTGTGTGTGTTGGTGTGTGTGGTGTTGTGTGTGTGTGTGTGTGTGTGTGTGTGTGTTTTGGAGGGGGAGACTACTGTTTATGTATGTGTGTTTTAGGAAGTTGGGGGGTCACTGTTTATGTTACACTAAACTGCTCCTCCACACTTTCCTCGTCTGAAGCTACACTAGGCTGCTACTCCACGCTTCACTCGTCTATGCTACACTAAGCTGCTACTCCATACTTCACTCTTCTGAAATGCTTAAATTCTCTCTCGTTTTATTCCTAGTTAATATATACTAAAATTTATTCATATATTACTAAGTGGTGCACATGGTGTCGTTTAAAACATCCATAGATAAACTGCTCGAGTAGTTTAAAGTCCTAATTATTAATTATCGTCCTAAAGACGTATTACTCTGTCAAGGTTACCTATACTTACCTACTTCCTGGCACTCTAAGGTAGGGAGAGTGTTATCCTGCCATATCCTGCTGGGCAGGACAGTAAAAACCAAAAGAATACCGAGCAAATTGCTGCCACAAACAGTGAGTATGTTGCGTGTTGCAGCATAAGACGTAGTTGTATCCTCGTGCTCGGTCTTGATGATGTCGTGTGATGACTACACCACTACATTATTACACATTACATTTCGGTTACTGCCTCGACCCCATCAATATTGTGATATTCACACGTGTTGTCTTAAGTTTCGAGGTCATAACTTCGACCTTAAGATACTGACTGTATTCATACTAATGTCTGACAACACCAACTGCATGAGGACTTGATCTTTTTTTCCCCCAATCACTCAATAACAATTTTAACACTGCACTATGACCATCACTGTCCAGATATTTGCACTCATTCCTGCTGAAATTATCTGTTTTTTTATACGATCACTTCTGGCAACACAGAGGCCACTACTGCAACTCAGGATTCTGGTAAAACCACAAAATTCAAAATTAAGTTGTGAAATTATAGGATTTATCGCACATTTCTGACTCTAGGAACATTGTTATAAGCCTGTGGGATTGTTCACTGACTGTCACCCATGTCAGTCTCCAACAACCGCCTCGAGAAGACTAAATACACTGAGCACTGGTGAAGCGGGTATTGCCGTGTGTGTACTCACCTAGCTGTGGTTGCAAGGGTCGTGTCACAGCTTCTGGACCCGTCCCTTTACTGGCCGCTTCTAGGGCCCTCTTCCTGATCTATGAGCTTTATCACACCTCTTCTTAAAGCTATGTATGGATCCTGCCTCCTTACATCCCTGTAATTCATCTGAGTGTTCAACTTCCAACTGTGACCCCTTGTTGCTGTGTCCCATCTCTGGAACATCCTGTCTTTGTCCACCTTGTCAATTCCTCTCAGTATT